CAGTATTTTGTATAGAGTATTTGTATAGTAATTATTAATAATTAGATGTAATTATGGTATTATAGAACTATTTGCATATCGTGGCACACAATAAACTCCTAGTGCAGAGGTAATAGGGAAACGTTGATCAAAAGTCACTAGATTGACTCCTGACTAAAAAGATTAATTGTCGTTCATTGTGATACTGCCCATTTAATTTTCACCGTATATTTTTGAATGTCTATGTGTGATGAAACATGTGCAATTATTGTGCAGTAATAGTAAATAGTAAATATATTTTAACAAATTGACACGAGTTATTTATAGTGCTGTATATGAATGAAAAAAAAGCATCTTATTTTCAGATCAACTATTTTTTGGTTATTATAGTTGCAATCATAGAAGCATAGGTACTTACTGTTACAGAGAAAATTTGACTATTATTATATGAAATGCTCTGTTTAAAAAATATGATAATTATAATTTTGACTGAATTATATTAATTGGTGTATTATTCTATCAATGGTTAACGTTTCTCACTGATATTAATGTCTGTTAAATCATTTTTGTACATGATTTATATATAGTTACATAGTTACAAACGTGACCGAAGTATTAAAAAAGGAATTACAGGTATTGTAGTGCATAAATAAATATTATTCAAAATCGGTTTTCATAAATAGAAGAACTAGAATATTTTTTTCAATTTAAAATATTTATAAAAAATAGTTGCACGTGGTATAAAAGCAGAGAACGTAAGGGAATAATAAATTCGTATAGAGGTTAGCGGTTTCGTGACATTACGTTAGTGAATAATAGCTGTTACAATATTTATCGTAATAAAAGTACTTGTTATGATTTCCATTTACCATTAGAAAATGATATAAGTATGTCTGAATATCTTACAGATTTATTTACATTAATAATTTTAATTATTTACAGATATTGTAATATTATAAAACCATGTTGAGAATATTGAATTTATCTCAGAAACTTCCCTCGTATCCATTGGGACAGAAACTTTTGAAATCGTACAAAGTTCCTTACAATTTTCGAAGAAATCTAACAACTACGTCTATATGTTGTAAAGAAGATTCATCTTTTCATAAAAACAATAAATATCAAGTTGGACAAGTTATAAATGGTTTTATAGTGGATGAAATTGGAACTATAGATGAGATACAATTGACTGCAGTGAGATTAACTCATTTAGGCAGTGGAGCTCAATATTTACATTTAGCCAGAGATGATTATAACAATGTTTTTTCTGTTGGATTTCGTACAACTCCAAAGGACTCCACAGGATTACCTCACATCTTAGAACACATCACTCTTTGTGGCAGTGAGAGATATCCATGCAGAGATCCATTTTTTAAAATGCTAAGGAGGTCATTAGCTACCTTTATGAATGCTATGACAGGGCCTGATTATACTATATATCCATTCTCTACACAAAACTTAAAAGATTACCGAAATTTACAGTCAGTATATTTGGATTCAGTATTTAAACCAAATCTGCGAGAACTTGACTTTAGACAAGAGGGTTGGAGATTAGAACACACAGATGTTAATGATAAAAATTCACCAATAATATTCAAAGGGGTGGTTTTTAACGAAATGAAAGGTGTTTTCAATGAAAATCAATCCATATTGGCTGAGCAATTATTAAACAGTATCTTACCTAGTCATACATACTCTGTAATATCAGGAGGAGATCCTCTAGTAATTCCTAATCTAAGACACATTGATTTAGTGAATTTCCATAAAATGTATTATCATCCTTCAAACAGTCGATTTTATTCATATGGCAACTTCCCCTTGGAGGACCACCTAAAATTTGTCAACGATCGATATTTATTTTTAGCAGATAAAATTGATACATCTATATCTGTAGTTCCTCCAGAAAAACGTTGGGATAAAGCAAGAAAAGAACATATTTTATGTAGACCAGATCCTATGGCTGCAGACCCTAATCGGCAAGGCAATATAGCCATTGGCTACTTGTGCAATGATATAATTGATACACAGAAAACTTTTGAAATGCATGTCTTATCTCAACTTCTTCTAAGAGGTCCTAACTCTGAATTTTATAAATCATTAGTGGAATCAAAATTGGCAGATGCTTTTGGTCCAATGACTGGTTATGATAATCATTGCAAAGACACTATGTTTGTCTTAAGTTTGATCGGCGTGAAGGAGGACGATTTTGAAAAGATAGACTGCATATTTAATGAAACTGTAGAAAAAATAATTGAAAAAGGTTTCGAAACAGATCAGATTGAAGCCATTTTGCATGGCATCGAGCTTCAAATAAAACATCAAACCTCTAATTTTGGATTACAATTACTTTTTAATTTAACACCACTATGGAATCATAATGGGAATCTTATACAATCAATGAGAATTAACAATGAAATTAGGAATTTTAGAGAAGAAATGGAAAAGAACCCCAACTATCTTCAAGAACTTGTGAAAAAATACTTTATGGATAACACTCACAGATTAACTTTAACAATGTTACCTTGCAAACAATATGACCATAATAAAACAATAGCTGAACGCGAATTGTTGGAATCAAAATTGAAAAAACTTTCCAAGGAAGAATTAGACCAAATTTATATTGATGGGCAGATATTGCTTCAAGAGCAACAGAAAAAGGAAGATTCAAATGTTCTTCCCACACTAAAGATCGAAGATATAAAAACAGATGTAGAACGGTACAACTTGAAAGATTTAGAGATTGTTGGTGTTCCATTACAAGTAGCTGTTGAACCAACAAACACTGTCTGTTATTATCGAGGAATTCTCAATACACAAGGCCTAGTTACAGATTTAAAAATGTTATTACCGCTTTTTAACCATATTATTACAAAAATGGGTTCAAACAATTATGATTATAGAATTTTCGATCAAATGATAAGATTAAAAACTGGAGGTTTAAGTTTCATGAATCATGTTGTGGAAAATAAAAGTAATTTACTTCAGTATGAGGAAGGGGTACTGATAGAATCATATTGTTTAGATCGCAATGTAGATGATATGTGGAGATTATGGTTTGAGATATTCAATAATGTAAAATTATCTGATCTTCAAAGATTTGAAACAGTTATTAAATCTTTTGCAGCAAATTTGGTAAATGGAATTGCAGATTCAGGACACATATATGCAATGAGTACTGCAGCTAGTTTAGTCTCACCAGTTACTAAGTTCAAAGAAACCATATCAGGATTAGAATTTGTCTCCAGAATGAAGAAAATTGCTCAAATGCAAGATTTAGGTATTATATTCTATGAAATGCAATTAATATCTGAACAGATTTTGAATAAACAACATTTGAGATCAGCAATAAATCTATCTGAAAATAATAAAGATAACATATTAAATAGTATTGCTGCATTCTATGAATCACTGAAGAGTACACCAAAGAGTTCATATATTTTTACAAGTGAACAGAGTATTGATGCAAAAGAGAGTGCTATCCATTACGTATTACCATATACAGTAAATTACGTGTCTAAAGCAGTTCTGACCGTACCATATACAAATTCTGATTTTGCACCTTTACAAATTCTTGCTAAGTTGATTTCCTCTGTTTATTTACACCCAGAAATTCGTGAAAAGGGTGGAGCTTATGGTGGTGGAGCAAAATTATCATCTGATGGAGTATTTACATTCTACTCTTATAGAGATCCTAATTCTACTCGCACATTAGATGTATTTGATAAAACCTATGATTTCTTGACAAAATACTCGTTTTCTGATACTGATATCGATGAAGCAAAATTAGGAGTATTTCAACGTATCGATGCTCCAATACCTCCGTGTAATCGTGGCATGATTAAATTTACACACAACATCACAGATGATGATATGCAAAAATATAGACAACAGTTGAAAGCTGTAACTACAGATCAACTCTTGTATGTTGCGAAAAAGTACTTAGAACCTGGTCAAAAGGATGTTCATGTTGGACGTGCATTGATTGGACCAGTTAATCAGGATTTATTAAGTAGACACTCAGAAAACTGGATTGTTCAGAATCAAGATGAAGAAGCTCAAGCAAGAGCAGTTGAATAGACAATTTACTAATAATCGATTTTTTTACTATATATAAGTAGGTTAACGTTATGGAAATTAAAAGACTTATGTAAATAGTGTACACTGTAACTTTTCTGTAATAAATTATTTAAACAAAAGTTATAATGCTGCAAATACATAAACAATTCATGTTTAAATTTCGTCTACAGTTAACGCATTGTTGACCAGTTACAACAATCTGTTAATGTATAAAAGTCACTATTAAAAAAATATTATGTATATCATTATTTTATTCTACATGCTTTTTATTTATTTCACATTAGATGGCGCATGTAGATAAATGTACAGAAAGTAAATATTTCCTGGATGCATTGAATTTATTTTTTGAAGTGCAATGGCTTTACAATATTCCAGTTACGGATTTGTTAACTAAGGGATTACTTGATTCAATTCCAAAAGAATGGACAGACGCCTTAGCAAGTTTGCAAATGCAAGAATTAAATCACTTCGTCGTGAAAAGAAAAACAAATGTTGGTAAATAAATAAAATTAAAAGATAAACTATTCTATCAATGTGTAAAATGTTTGATTTTTCTTTTTTAGCCACAATGGCCAGATGGATTAAAAGCTTTCGTCGAAAAATGCAGATACATTGATCGATTGCCAACTTTAAATGCTACTTTGTTCACAAAATTGCCAAAAAAATTTCAAATAGGACTCAACGATAAAAAACAACATGAAATCATACATATGGCACATTTAGTGCACATGCAATGTGCACCACTTAAAATTAAAATTATTGTCGATTTTGGTGCTGGTTTGGTAAGCTACAGGAGTACACATGAAGTTAATTAACTATGAAATATTAATATTTCTTAGTTTGTTATAAAAGGTATATATTACAGGGCTATGTTTGTCAACTATTATATCATCTGTATGGTTACCAAGTTCTTGGTTTAGAAAGAAGTCAGGAAAATGTGAATAATGCTAAAAATAGACAAGCAAAAATGTATCCTGACTCGTTGGAACATGTTAAATACAGATGTTGCGATTTGACATACAATTCCGTTGAAGTAATTGAAACGATCTTACGTAATGAATTTAAAGAAAACTCGGATGTTTGCTTAATTGGATTGCATGCTTGTGGAGATCTTAGTATAAATGCATCAAAAATATTTTTTAATATGAAAGCCGCTCGACTTTTTATTATGATTTCTTGCTGTTACCATAAACTTTCAATGTCAAAAGACACAGATGAAAATGAATCAACCAGAAAGCAATATTTTAATAATTTTCCCTTATCTACGTGCTTTAAGAGCGTAATTCATGACAATAATTTTGATGTCGGTTGTTTCTTAAGACAACCGTTCTTACGATTGGCATGTCAAGAATCCGCAGAACGGTGGAATAATATGTCCACTGAAAATCATGATAAACATTCCTTCTATGTCCTTGCAAGAGCAGTTCTTCAATTATATGCGACTCAAAGTATACATTTTTTTTGTATTTTTAGTTTAATGTTAATAATAGAAACTTAAAAACAAAAATATCTTTCAGATGACTATACTCTTAAAAAATGTGCCCGAAAAGGAACAAGGAAGTCACAGTGTTTAAACTTTGAAACTTATATCAAGGATTCATTAAATAGATACATTTTCCAATCACAAAAAGAAACAAATATCAAAGAGCAAGGTGATCTTAATATCAAATACTTTTTTTCAGTATGGATTCAGTCTAAACTTTTACTGAATGTTATAAAAGCATTAAGTTAATTTCTTCCACAGGTGTACAATTCAGTACGGAAATGCACATAACGCGTATGATGGAATTATGGAATATTTACTGTGACAAACTGAAGATTGTAGAAATTTATACCGCCCTTCAATCAGTGTTACAAGCATCGGCAGAGTCCCTTCTTCTTCAAGACAGATTATGTTGGATACAAGAACACGGCTTAGAAGCAACAATTATTCCGGTTACAAACAAACAATTGTCTCCTCGATCGTATGCAATTGTATCTAGTAAAAAATGAAAAGATATTGTAAAGTAATACTTAGGTTAATTGTAAATAAAATGTTAGATAATATTCAACAATTTTTATTTTCCTTTCCTGTGTGCATTGAGGCATCGATCGTTGTCCAAGTATAAAATTCCTGTATGCATTTCTTTTATTACAAATGTTATGTATTTAGAACATATTCTATGGATATAACTTAAAATGAAAACTGTAATCACGCCATACATATTCTTTCAAAATATTCTTTAAGAACTTACAATGTTCTAAGGACACAAACATTAAAATTATAATAGTACTAACAAACTTGAGGATATCTGATTAGATACATTATCTGTATGGATGAATTTGTGATGCTGCTTTAATATTAGTTTTAATTGCACTTGGAGCTTTACTCATTTGTCCCACTATAAATAAAGACAATTTGTTATTAATAAACGTATACATTTCAATTAATTATCAAATATTATAAGTATAGCATAAAATGAATTGTATGTTTCTTACTCGGTGGATTTCCTAAAGATCCTTGTCCTGAAGCTTGTTGTTGATTTCCTGGTCTACCTACCATCATTCCACTAGGAACAGAATTAACACCAGACTGGACCATTTGGACGGTGTCAGACTGTAATAAGGGAAAGTATATAGAAATCAACATGAATATATACTTGAGTAAATATATATAAAATAATATTTACCTTCAGACCTTTACCCATACCAACAGCTGCTACAAGAGCATGGGTATCTGCTGTGCTACTAGTCTGAGCTTGAGTTGCTCTAGATCCAGCTTCACTTTCCCATTCCTCGCGTGCTTTGTTGGCTGTATCCCATATCTGACTAATAACTTTGGTGTATTGTGCCACTTGTTTCTGAAAAGTATATAATTGAAATATACTATAAACAATACAAAACGTTTTAAGTGTTCCACTCGCTAAATGGACCGATTATAAAATTGTACTTGTAGAGTACTTTAAACTACTAGAGGAAGCTTATGACTTAATTTATAAATATGTGTGTACAAATGTATTTAATTTTTTCTTTATATAAGATATGAGTACACATCAAATCTGTAGCACTTGTTTCCTCTAATAGTTTGGAACTGATATATTCTATTCATTTAACTAAATGTAATATTTTAACATATAATACCATCAAAGATAACATTCATATTCAGTAAAAATTACACTTTAAGATGAAATGTACGCTTTCAAAAAGTAAGATTATAGGATATAGAACAGATTTTTATAAAACATCCTTAAAATATCAAAATTATTCTATGTATTATGCAAATGATTTATGTTTAGATTCAGTCCAAAGCGAATGGAACTAATAGAAGCTGAAAGCTAGCTGATAGTAGCTTACATTGCAGTCCTAGTTGTTGTATAGTTAGCACATTAACAGAGAAATAGAACATCTTAAGTTATCTTTAAGCTTCTACAATAAGACAATACAGATGTACAATTCTTTCTGTCTCTTAAAGTATTTAAAATCTAATCTTAAAGCATATTTATTTGAATTTTTGTGTATCTAATTATATCAATATTGACAATAAAGGTCTATAGAAAGTACTTTGTTCATAATTTTTATAAATATATAAGAAATATATAATAAATGTATATCTTACATGTGATGTTTCATAATTTAAATTTGCAGCTTTTGTTTCAAGCTGTAACATTTTTTGTTCAGCTTGAGGTTCCACTTTAGTCCGTAAATAATCTGGTACTAAATCATGAGCAAATGTAGAAATTCTACCTTCGGTCAATCGAAATAATTCTTCATCCTTTTCAGGACTTAGTCGTAATGGTAGAACTGTTAAATTACGTAAGTTTGGTGCCTTATCATGTCCCAGAATCTTCGATAGACTAGTCAGCTACAATGTATTTTCAATAAAATTAGTGACTATAATCTAAATAAAAACATACATGAGAAAAATGACATTTAAATTAACTTAAACCAGATATATTCATAATTTATATTATATTAATTTAAAATTACATATAAAAGAAGAAGTCTAAATTGTATTTGGAATTGTTATGTGTAATTTTACTTACATGTCCTGAAATAAGTGCAAAATTATCAAGAAAATTAGGCCAATTTAATGTTTCATATTCATGCTCCAATTTGAATATCATTGCAGCTATAGCCGTTTTTAAGTCATTTATTCTCAAAATAATAGCCTCTAAGGCAGAATCTAGTTGCTTCTCTTCTCTTTGCATTATAAATCCTGAAACATAAACATTGGTATTCTGTCATTACAATCCAATCTGTTTAAAAAACTTAATATTCAGAGTAATAAATTTGTAATAAATTTTGTATATATATAAATAGATTAAGTAGAATATAGTATAATACTCACTCTTTTACGTATACATTAATGTGATATTATAAGTTTTTACACGACAAATTAAAACTAAATTATATTGTTTATTTATGACAAATACATTTGTTACTTGACTCTATCACTGATAACTAAGTATTTGTTATAAAGAATTATCTAATATTTTCATCATAATACTGTGTCCATTCCACTTCAGTCACTTTTCGTTCGTGATGTTCAAGTGATGAACCACAAATAAATTACAGAATATATCGACTTCGTAACACCACGTCTGTGCTGGTATTTTGGACGGTGTTCCCTGTTTTCACACAGATGTCGCGATGAGTTAGTTAAATAAATGCAGATGGCCGATAATTGTGTCATACGTGAACGACAGTAGAAAAAAGTAGAAAGAACACCGGCAAGATTTTTCCGTTTTTGATTGATATAATTTTTATTGTGAAGAAGAACATTTAACCGTATTGTAATTATGGCTGCATTTGAGGGTAAATAATTCCTTTTCTCATGTACTTATAAGTATAATATAAAAACGAAGTTCAAACGTAACATACATTTTTTCGAATTATATAGTGGACCTTTATTATAACTTTGTTAATTATTTTATAATGTTATCTTTTAGAAATGGGTGTCCTTCCAGAAATTGCAAAGGCAGTTGATGAAATGGAGTGGACGTAAGTACAGTCAAATTATGTTGCAAGAAGAAGAATATAATAATAAAACAAAGTACAGTATCTAGCAGAATAATTCTTGGAAGATGGACTTATTTAAACATTGTAAATTATAGATTACCAACAGATGTACAGTCTGAAGCAATACCATTAATTTTGGGTGGTGGAGATGTATTAATGGCTGCAGAAACTGGCAGTGGAAAGACTGGTGCTTTCTGTTTACCTGTTATACAAATAGTATGGGAAACACTGAACGATTTAGAATCTGGAAAAGCAACTACTACTTCAGGAGGAGCAGCCCCACCATCTTGTATGATTCTTTTTTTTTTATCAATAATATCTTATAAGACCTATTGATTCATTTATTATTTACAGCTACGAATTGGTTACTAAGTTTATTTGATAGAGGTAGAGCATTAGCAGTAACTCCAGATGGTTTAAGATGTCAAAGTCGCGAACAGAAAGAATGGCATGGTTGTCGAGCAAACAAAGGAGTTCATGGAAGTAAGAAGTTCTTTTATGAAGCTACTGTAACCGATGAAGGGTTGTGCCGCGTTGGTTGGTCTACAGGCCAAGTAAATATTGGATTATTCACACTGACATTTAATCAGTTTACTTATTAGGTTTATTTGAATCTAAGAACCAATATGTTTATAGGCTTCCTTAGATTTAGGAACAGACAAAAATGGTTTTGGTTTTGGTGGAACTGGGAAAAAGTCAAATGCAAGACAATTTGATGATTATGGAGAGGCCTTTGGCATGCATGATGTAATTGGATGCTACTTGGATTTAGTAAAGGGTGAAATCAGTTTCACAAAAAATGGTGCAAAACTAGGAGTAGCATTCACTTTGAATGCACAACAAAAATCACAGACCTATTATCCAGCTGTGGTCTTGAAAAATGCTGAAATGTCGTTTAATTTTGGAGCACAACCATTTAAACATCCACCCTCTAATGATTTTATAGCTGTTGCTTCTGCTCCTAAAGAATGTGTTAGGGAAAATCCAACAAATAGTAGTTCAACTAGAAGTAAAGAAGATGGTAAGCCAAAATGTAATGCTCCTCAAGCTATAATCATTGAACCATCTAGAGAACTTGCAGAACAAACATATAATCAAATACAAAAAGTGAGTTGTTACCAACAATAATCAATTGTAATATCAATGTGTTTCTAAAGGCGTATACTGATGTATAAACATGTATTCAAATTTTAGTTTAAAAAGTATCTGAAAGATCCTATCATCAGAGAATTGTTAGTTATCGGTGGAATTAGCGTAAAAGAACAAATATCCGCATTAAATTCTGGTGTAGATATAGTAGTTGGAACACCAGGACGTTTAGAAGACTTAATACAAGGCGGCTATATGTCGTTAACACATTGCAGGTATCTAACTAACAATTACACTCTCATATCATTAAGTAATGACTTACACCTACTGTTAAATGTACCCTATCTATAGATTCTTCATTTTGGATGAAGCTGATGGTCTACTCAAACAGGGTTATAGTGCATTAATTGATGGCTTGCATAAACAGATACCTAAGATTACGTCAGATGGAAAACGATTGCAGATGATAGTGTGTTCAGCTACACTGCATTCATTTGAAGTAAAAAATATGGCTGTACGTATCTTCTGATTATAGTCTATCTTTTCATCACATTTCATAAACACATACTGGAAGGATTCTACTGTCCATAGGGACGATTGATGCATTTCCCGACATGGGTAGATTTGAAAGGTGAGGATGCAGTACCCGAAACAGTGCATCATGTTGTTGTAATGGTGGATCCTCAAAAAGATAGGTCTTGGCAGAACTTAAGAAAACACATACCAACCGACGGTGTGCACGAAAGAGATAAACTTGGTGGCAACAATCCCGGTATAGCATAAATTCCATAAAATCCTCATTTATTAAGTATCTTCAAATTATAAAATCAAACTTATTCGCAGAGACATTTTCGGAGGCTGTGAAGATGTTAAAGGGAGAATACTGTGTTCGTGCTATCAAAGAACACAATATGGACAGAGCTCTGCTTTTCTGTAGAACAAAGTTAGACTGCGACAACTTGGAACGATACCTAAAGCAAACTGGAGGAAATCAATTTTCATGCGTGTGTCTTCATGGCGACAGGAAACCCCAGGAACGTAAAGCCAACTTGGAGAAGTTCAAGAAACAAGAAGTGAAATTTTTAATTTGCACTGACGTCGCAGCTAGAGGACTGGATATCACGGGGTTACCTTTCAGTGTGTATATAATAATTATAATCAACATGCATAGCATTACAGTATAACTAATCCTTGAGGGGTTCTTTTTAGTGGTTAATATCACACTGCCTGACGAGAAATCAAACTACGTGCACCGCATAGGTAGAGTTGGCAGGGCTGAAAGAATGGGTCTGGCCATTTCACTGGTCAGCAAAGTACCTGAGAAGGTTTGGTACCATGGTGAATGGTGTCCTTCTCGTGGAAGAAATTGCCACAACACCACCCTCACCGATCAGGGTGGTTGTTGCATCTGGTATAATGAACCAAATGTATGTCTTCTGTACTTGAAATATGTGCCTAATTGTTTATATTAATTATATCTTCCTTTGCTCACAGTATTTAGCAGAGATTGAAGATCATCTGAACGTAACGATTCAGCAAGTGGGTCCTGACATAAAAGTTCCTCTAAATGACTTCGATGGGAAAGTGACTTACGGAGAGAAAAGAGCTAACATGGGTACGTAATTCTATCTGTAACACTAATTAAGCATCGACTAAACGTTCCAAAACATATAGGTTCGAATTACCAAAACCACGTGCAACAAATGGCACCTTACGTGGCGCAGTTATCGGAACTGGAATCGAAAGCGCAACTGCTGTACTTAAAGAGACACATGGCTGCCGCGGCAAACTAACTGGCAATTAAAGGTTCCTATCTGTATCAAAAATTAGCCGCTAATCAACCGTTTAATCTCCAATATAATTCCTCATACGCGAATATCCGACTATTTATAAACAACGTGTACTTTCAAGTAACATAAGAAGTTTGTTACAAACAATATAAAATCATTCCTAGCAAAAACATATGAATTTCATGATTTCTGTAAAATAGTATTTCCGTTTGTGTATATAAGACATACGGCAAGTGTTTATTGTATCATTATAATCTTCATAATTGTACCATCGCTATTTCAGTTACACAAATGTATAATACAGTGGCCTTGCAGTGTTTGGTTTTGTAATTTTCACAAAATCTCTTCTTCCACATTCTCTCTCTCCCTCTCTCTCTCTCTCTCTCTCTCCTCATCTCTTGTATATGCGCAAGTGCACGCACGCGCGCACTCGATGATCTGAATTTTGTATATAGTATAACGGATATATATATCCACATATCCAATTCGTATGTCCATATATATATATCTCGTATACCGGCCGAATTTACTAAATGACTTTTCTTTAATTACACATAATAATTTATACACATTTCCCGAAATCAATGGTAAACGGCTAAAGTTATACAGTGTACAAATCATACCATTCTTACCTTTCTCTCGCGCATTCTCCCAAAGTGTCTCAGCCTCTCTCTCCCATGCACGCGATATCTCTGCACACAAATATACTCGACGCAACCCCCTATCTCTCCTCGAATAGTGTGCGCGGTTCGCGTGACCGAATTCGGTGCACGACTAGAGAACCACCCTTCTTTCTTCCATCATCTCCTCTTCCTCCTCCTCTTCCTCTTCCTCCTCCTCTTGCTCATCATTTAATTACACGCTAAACTTAATCGATTTAATCAGCGTTAAATTCATGAAAACATCTCGATAGTTTCTTTTTTCATTTTTCATTATCGTATTCAGACAGTCATCACAGAATGAGAATGAAATATTTTTTTCTTCTTACACCGTTGTTAATCTAAAAACACATTTAGATACTCGCGATTAGTCGCATTCACTCTGGGTACACGAACGCACGCTCGCCAAAAGCACCCCCTCTTTGGCTCACACACACGTACACGTAAGGTGGTACACACGCTCATACAAAGTCGTTCCCGACTGCGTTTAACTTGGTGAATCATATTTATATATATATATATATATATAATATATATATATATAATATACT